AAATCCGAAGTTTTTTTTATCATCAGATTTACAATCTCTTAAAAATTATAAAAGGATAATAAATAATGAACCGCATATCGTGTAACAGTTAATACGTGTATGTTTATTTTATGATTACCATAACTGTACCTGTAGATTTTAATTTCTGCAAATCATTATTAATACTGTAATTACCGAATCTAAATTTCATTTGTTGTGCGCACAAATTTAAATTGAAGTTTTTTTTGTGACAAGAAGACTTAATTTTTTTTTTTTTTTGTGACAAGAAGACTTAATTTTTTTTTTTAAGTTAAAATTGATACACTTAATTGATACACTTTCTTTATAAAAAGTTTTTTTTTTTTGAATGTAATCAAGAATGTCGGGTACAAATTACCAAAGGGATGGCAGTGGATATGAAGATGAATGGCCAGTACACCAGTCGGAATTAGAATCTGATATTTTACAATTTAACAATATTAGTCGAAATAGTCTGAATATTAATAACTCTTCTACATTGTCACATCAAATTCCGTCAAGAACTTCCTCATCTAAAACAAATTTACTTAAGAAGATAGGACTTTGGAAGTTTTTCGAAGCCGATGATTCATCAGTTACCACTTCTTTTCTAGAAAATGACTACGTTAAAGTGGTTTTTCACGTCCATCTCCCACCAAAACTTGAGAATATCTCTCGAGATTTTACTTTAGTAGATAAAGCAACTCCTTGCGTAATTGGTAATATTGACGAACTTGGTAACTGGGAAAAAGAGTTGGTTCCACTTAAGCAACCTTATTATAAACCACTCAGAGGATTGTATGGGGATAAAAACAGTACTTATTGGGTGTCTGAACCCGTTATGATTCCAATAAGTAAGTTTAATGAAGGTGAGATTAGATATAAGTATGCCGTGCAAGTTGTTGAGAAAATAGATAAAAAAAGTATTAAAGCTGAAGAAAAGAAGATTAAAGAAGCTGAAAAGAAAGCTGAAAAAGATAGAAAGGAAGCTGAGAAAAAGGCTGAAAAGGAGAGGAAGGAAGAAGAAAAGAGATCAAAAAAAGCTGAAAAAGAAAGAAAAGACGCCGAAAAGAAAGCTGGAAAGTATAAGAAAATTGATGATATTATTCAAGATAACGAAAATAATAGAGATAACGATGGTAGTCCCGTGAGGGAAGAGGATGTCAGTGATGAAAAACCTGGTGATACAAAAAATGACGACGATGATAAAGATGAAGATGTGGTCAAGAAAGACAAGAAGGATGATGATGATAAGGATGATAATAGTGATGATAATAAGGATGATAATCAAGAGGATAATAAGGAGGATAATAAGGATGATACTAAGGATGATAATAGGGATGACAATAAGGATGATAAAAAGGATTATGATGACTCCAAGAGATCCGAAGAAACAGAGAGTGGCGCAACGGACAAGAAGTCAAAAGACCAGGAAAAACTAGACAAGAAAATAAAAGATGAACCTAGAGTTTTTTGGTTTCATGAAATTATCCATGATGCCCTAGATTATCGTACATTAAATGTAAAAGGTGAATCAACTAATCAGTTTGATATAGTGAGCCAAATAAACATTGATAATCATTCATATTATAAACGTGTTTATGATTACGAATTCTTTAAAATAATCTGGAAATCGCTTACTCCTGAGAATGCTAAAATAAAACTTAAGGAATATCTAGATATTTTGGAACGGTTTCCAGATGAGACTCTATCAGCGGTTGATGTAAGCTTTATTGAGGATGCACTTAAAAGTACAAGCGATAAAGAAAAACGTCTATTTTTAAGTATTGTACTAGGATATTACATTATTACACGTTCTAACACATTTGGGAACTATAATTTGCTCGGAAAAAAATTTCCTTCTCAAAATGTATTTGAATGTATTGAAAAATTTCGACCTGAAGACTGGTTACCTAACACTACAGAAATACTCTTAACAACTCTTCGTGCATCAATTGTACGTGATGTACAATATGATGATCATTTTTGGGTGAAAGCTATGTTTACGTTTGCGCATTCTTTAGACCCTGAATATAGCTTCTTGGATTGTGTTTCTAATCAAAAA